TCCCTCGGCCTCCTCTGCCCCCACAGAGACGGTGCTGGGGGGAACCAGCTTTTAAGCCAGCTCCCACCCCCCTTTGCTGCCCCTCTCTGATAGAGGCAGCAAGGTGGTGGGGGAATCGAGTTCCTACTTGAGTACCTGCTTACATCCCTAGTTATAACATGGTTTAATCTGATCCCATACATATTGGAATGTCCAAATCATGTTAGAACTAGGTTGTTCCCAAATTCTTCTTAATTGTAACTGATTTCATAGTGTATATGGATCCTGAATGTTCTGACTTTGGATTATGCTATCAAAGTTAATAGAAGCTCATTTTAGATGGGTCTTAGAGTGAGGAAACTCTGTGCTCCTTTATAATTGGCTACTTTTGTATAGTGTAAGCTTCACTGGCAGCAAAACCTGTTCAGATGGTCAATTTCTGTTAGAATTGAGGTTTCTAAGACTATTGTAGGTGTTTCATTGTGAATAAGGGTATCTTCTAACATAACTATGATATAGTTTTTTTGACTTTGTAGTTGAGCCTCTTTTAATGAAGAAATTGTAAAATAAACTTTAATACAATTGGTAGACAGTGTCCATACAAAACAGACTGGTGGAACAGATGCCAGTAAAACAAATAAATAGTCCCTCCATCCAATAATATTATTTCAAGAGACATGTAAATATCCGTTGGTGTGTAAATAATTCGTTCGTATGTAAATATGGTTGATCCCATTGCTTGACATACTTTTTCTCTCCTCAAAGTTCGTGGATGGGCATTGACAAATGTGAAGGAATGTTTTCAAGTGGGAAGGGAATGGAGTCAGTTTTAATAACCGTTTCCTCTGTTCAGCCCTGCACAGTGATGATGGTGATTATGCTTAATGATTCAAACTGCAATGTCAGAATTGTTTAGCCTAGATACAGTTGTCTTCTATTTTGATTTAAGGTTTCTGCTCCTAAAAGGTCAACATTCACTCCATATTCAAATGGTTCTTGACCAGGTTCAAGTTGTTTGCAATCATAAAATGCGGTAGAGGGAAAACAACTTCAGAGAGGTAACACATCCCAGCTTTTTGTCCTGAGAACAATATTTGCCCTCCCCACCACCACCACCATCAACCAAAACAAAACCCCACCCTGAGTCTAAAACCAGCTCTGAAAAGCTATTTGTGCAGGTACACAGAGGCTACTTCTGTTAACTATTTGGTACATAGTGTTTGACTGCAATAGGTTTTTGCATGGTATCACTTACATTTGTTATTGCCAGTGAAATCAGGATGTATTTAACACTGAGGGCTTGTGTAAACACTGTTTTTGTACTGCTATCAATACATAGGTTTAAAAATTTGCCGTCAGTAATTTAAAAAGAAAATTAGACCAGCCCCTGAGGTGATACTAAACATTTACAACTTAAAAATAATTTGTGTTTCTTTAATGATAGGTAACATTTCTCTGAAGTGCTTACTTTGCACTTCCCTTGGATGTTGCATTAGCTAATCTGAGACTAATGGATGTCCTTTACATATCAGCTCTTTATGAAGGCATTCTAGCTCCCCTGATTGTAACAGTGAGCAAGAGGGTAGTTCAGCTACGGGTGGTCTTTCCTCTTAGTTTGAGTCCAGATTTCTCAGTCAGGGCATAATCAAGGTCCAGACTTCAAAGAAAATAATTTTTAAAAGATAAACAGATTGTTGGGGTCCATTCAAAATGTTAGATGGTCTGGATTTGTTCCATAGTCCACCTGTTGACTTCCCTGACTTAGTCTAACCCTACTGTGAGCCACAATGAGCAACGTAGTTGTTAAAATTCCAGCAACACTTATTGCTCCACCTGTGCTGGCAATGCCTTGACTTTCTTTGCTAGCATCTTTTTTTAACAGAGGAGGATTGCTAGGTATGGAGTCTGTAAGTTGGTGAAATTCCAGGCTTTTTTGAGTACTATCACAAATGTAAAATACCTTGATAGAAGGAAAATCCAGTTAGCAGAATATGTGGTTTTATTGCTATCTTAAATAGTTTTAATTTATGTTCTATTTAGAAAGGTAAGTCCTTGCATGTAACTCCTATTGTACTCCATGATAAGTCTATGTGCACATTAGATATCAGAATTTGATCCCTGACTTTTTATGTCACTTGTTTTAGTAACTGCAGCTTTTTTTTCTCATTGAAAACATGTATGTCTTGAAGCCCTCTAAAGTTAGTACACGTTTGCATCAGTGGCAAAAAGAAGCCATAATGCTGTTGGAAGGGTTTTAGCTGAAAGACCATGATTGCTGCTTACTTCAACCATGATTAATGCTCAGTTGATGCATCCCTTTTCTTCTGTAAACTTAAACACTGGTGGTAACCTGTACGCCTTGGGTTCTAGCGGTTATTCAGATCATGCCAATGAGTTTGAAAATGGGTGGATGCCAGCTTACAAGAAAAATCTTTTGGATGACAGCCTTTTTGTGGTATTATGGTTAATTATTGTCAGTGATGATTCTGATTCACTTTGGCTGCCTGGAATTTAAGTTTTGTATTGGTGGGATGGCTAAATTTTTTGCTAGTTGCTCTTGACTGATCAATGAATATTTTGAAAACTAGAACTCTGGTTGGTTATCTGCCATTTTCAGTCTGTCTATAAAGCTGATAACGGCAGTATAGAGTGTGATGCTAATTAGGTTACACATGCTCTAGGGCAATTATATTGCATTATATTGCATCTGTATTAAATTCATTATTGCCAAACAATCCAGTTGCTGAGACAGTTGTCTTAATTAGGTCTCCATGATAAGCCTGAGGCTGTCCAGCCTCAGCTGTTTAAAGCAAACATGTCTGTGCTTTTCCCCTCATTTAGTGTAGTATTTAAACCTAAACGCATGTTGGGAAGGTGAGAGTTATGTCCCTGGGTCCCCAGCAGCTATTCCCAATGATCTCTGGAACAGAAAAATACTACTCTGAAGTGCATGTGAAAGAGCAAAATTGTCACATTCATCCAAGAGGTCTGCCATCTGAATCAGAGACATTCGTTCCGTTGGTTACACAAGACATAAAGGAGACTAGCCAACTCTGAAGCACAGTAGGCAAAAAACACAACTTTCCAGAATATTGTTAACAACCCCAAACCATTTATAATCGAAAGTGGAGAGTTACTTCACACCAAGTTGCAGGAAGTGATCTCTGTTGGGCAGTAATGCTTTCAGCCCCTGGTTTCAGGCATTACTTATTCAGTTCTGTCATTCTTGAACCCTGGGGCATATGTTTTCTAGTCATTCCTTTTGCTGTAAACAAGTGTGTTTTATTTCCTGATCTACATCTTTCATGTTGTATGTTTGCAAACCACAAAAAAATGCACATTCTGAACATGCAGTTTTGTGGGACAGGGGAAGGAATCCAGACTTTGAAATCTTCAGTGCAAAATCTGCATGACTCACTCATTCACTATAAATCAGTGTACCTAGTTCTGTGCCAGTGGGGCAGAATTAACAATTGGCATTCATTAATAAAGTTATGGGGAAAACTCTTGGTCCATTCTCAGGGAATTGAAGTGCATTATGGGTGGCAGCCTGTCTTTGCAATAGAATTTTTGTGATTACCTTTCTTGTTTTATCAGTCTTTACAGTTATCCATCCTTTAATAGAAACCTCTCTAAATAGTGTTATGCAGCTGAATATAACTGCATAAATAAGTCTTCGTGTATCCAAAACATTTGAAAATCCACAGCAAGCTCATTAAAATAGAGCCTAGCAGAAGGTAGCATTCCATGAATGTAAATAGTTTTGTAATGATAATATCAGTTGTGTTCCTTGTATGGTACTAAGACTTTAAAGCTAGCTTACATAATTATTAATGAACTCCTGCCCCTTGTTTGACACAAACTTGTTTGACTTTTAAAAATTGTAAATTATATCTTACATTCATGACTTCACGTTTGCTGTAATGGAAAATGTATATACAGTATCCTAAAGACATGAATTAATGGCCTATTTTACTAATGTCCCTTATTTTGAGTTCTTGTCCTACACTTGGACTGTGACAAGTTGTGCGATTGGAGTTCATTAAAACCAGAAAGGATCCTAATTATAAGCAATCTACTGCAGTGGCTGTTGCATTAGCTGTAAGGCAGAATCTCCAAGGGTTGGACATGGAGCGCTAGGTGAGAAATTTTATGGAAATAGTGTACCAGTTAGAGTTCCCATGATAAGAAATAAATGAACTTGCCACGTTTACTGCAGGTAACTGTTGAAGAAAAACCTGCCTTCCTGCACACACTTCTGGTGTATGCAGTCAGGCAGTCTTATAATCTTTGCAAGGCTTGCTGTTAACTTAAATGCCATTGATTCTTTTTCCTACTGACCTTGAATATAGAGTGTTTTAATCTTCACAAATGGATTAAGTTAAAAATGCTAACTAAGAAATATTAATACCATGATCATCACGTTAATTAAATAGAATAAACATGAGAGAAATCAAGATTTTACTCCATTGAATTTGGAATGGGAATTGCAACAATTAAACTCTCTTCATTCCTGGAGATCTGTGTGTGTAATCTATTAATTTGGTTTGTTTTGTGCCACAGGTTTCAGAATGAAATTGTTAAAAGTTCACAGCCTCTGCTATTGAAGATTATTTTTATATACATGCTTTATTTTAATACCAAGTGCTAGTAGTACACTGTACAGATTCACAGATCTTATTGAATGTGCTTAGTAATGCTAATTTATCCAAATTCATTTGAATGCATAAGAATAGAGGTTAACTAGTTTCAGTTCACAAGTGGTAACAACTCCAATCTAACATCTGCATCAGTAGTTAAAGCCCATAGCCTTTATAAAAACCATGTCTCTGTTTTAAATCCCAGTTTTAAATAGTATTCATTTGGCTTGTGGGCTAGGGAAAAGTGGTTTTAAAATAGTTTGTGTGTGTGTGTGTGTGTGTGTGTGTGTGTGTGATGTATATAAACACACACATGCTCCTTTGTTTCAACAATTCTTTTGGAGGTTAGTTTCAGGGATTAGTGCCATGGGAGGTTAGCAATCTGAAAGAATAATCTTTGAAAGAAAATAAGTAGTGTGCAAAAACAGAGGTGATACGTTAAGCCACTAGACAGTAACTTTTGATCAGTTAAGTGTAGATTGAGCCTTGGGCTCAACACATAGAGATTTAAGGAAGAAATCATTTCTTCAATTTTTCCTCTGCAGTGGTGGTGACCGTGGTGGCTTCAAAAATTTTGGTGGTAAGTGCTGAGTATCAAAAATGTTTCAGTGGAAATTCTGTATAAATCTAAAAGCCACCAATATCTTATTACTATCCAGTAGAAGCATTCTAGCGTTTCTATTTTGCTGGGGCTGGTGTGTTTGTGTGCTTTAAAAGTCAATCTTTTAACAATAAACTGGATATCTGCTTTGTCAAATTGCATGAAAGAAATGGTGGAGATCTAAGAACTTCACTGGATTTTGGGTTTTTTTGTTACAAATGCTGCTTTGAATGGTACTAGTGACAAAATAATTGTGGTTAAACTGCTTGGTCATCTGACAACCAGCATTTGCAAGATAAACACCAGCTTAATGCTAGTGTGGCTGATGCCACATACCGTAAGTTCAAGAACATATTAACGTTCTACAGATGCCTGCTAGTGAACATTTTATTCTAAATATTCTCCAGATTTCTGGTTAACAGCTTAGATTTTCAGATACATTGAGTATGTAGCTTGACTATTTTCTTGTCTTATTTAACAAGCTTTTAAACAGCTTTCCTTTCTAAAGTAGCCTTTTTTCATTTTTTTAACCATTCTCCAGGTCAGAGGGATTATGGACAGAAATCAGATGCTGGTAAGAAAACAAGCAGTGTGTGGATTGCAACTCTTTGTACTTCATAGCATTTGTAACACATGCACGCACTTTGGAGGACCATGACCAGTTAAAGGCTGATCTGAAATTAACATGACAGTCAATAAAGACAAGTGCAAAGTACTTCTCTTATGAAGGAAAAATAAAACAAATGCACAAATACAACTGGCTATGTGGTAGTACTGCTAAAAAGGGTCAGGGATTGAACATGAGTCAACAATCCTATGCAGTTGTATGTGAGACTAATATTCTGGGGACTAATATTTTGGGGTATGTTAAACACATTAATACATGAGAGTGTAGAGAAGAGCAACAAATATGATCAAAAGTTTAGGAAATCTGATCAGCCTGTGGGAGACTTTCTAAGACTTTGAATATGTTAAGGGATGTTATAAAGAGGATGGCAATCAATTTGTGCAGGACAGGATGTAATGGGTGTAATTTGCAGCAAGGGAGATTTTGGTTAGATATTAAGAGAAACTTAAATTACAAGAGCAGTTGAGATCTGGAGCAGGTTTCCAAGGGAAGTTGTGAAATCCCCATCATTGGAGAGTTTTAAACACCTGTCAGGAGGATCTAGTTTTACTTGGTCCTGCTTCAGTACAAAGGGCTATACAAATAAGCCTACAGGCAGTCCCCGAGTTACGCGGATCCGACTTATGTCGGATCCGCAGTTACGAACGGGGCCGTTCCTCTCCCTGGTCTCCAGCAGACCAGGGAGAGGAAGCAAAGCGGCGGAACACGTGGGCAGCGGACAGGGCTGCTGTCAGGAGGATCTAGTTTTACTTGGTCCTGCTTCAGTACAAAGGGCTATACAAATAAGCCTACAGGCAGTCCCCGAGTTACGCGGATCCGACTTATGTCGGATCCGCAGTTACGAACGGGGCCGTTCCTCTCCCTGGTCTCCAGCAGACCAGGGAGAGGAAGCAAAGCGGCGGAACACGTGGGCAGCGGACAGGGCTGACCGCTGCCCACGCGCTCCGCGGCTTGGCTCTGCTTTGCCCCCCCCTCC